TCATTGAACTATAAATAAACTGGAAGGCTAACTGCTATGATGAAGGCCTATGAGTTGATGAAGCCAAAATAGTTTTTTTGAGTTATGAGCTGAAATACTTGGCCCCCAACGTCGGGCTATATATCAAATTGAAGCTATTGAAAATTGCTATTCGGTGTGGAAATTTCAAGACTTCAGCGAAAAGGAAAATATTTAAAAAATACAAAAACAACTGCAAAACGGCAAATTATCGGTAATTATGTTTGTAGTTTTTCAATATTTCCCTTTTAGCTAAAGTCTTGAAATTTCTACACCAAATAGCGTTTTTCAATAGCTTCAATTTGATATATAGCCCGACGTTCAGTGTTGAGTATTTCTGCTCATAACTCAGAAAAACTAAAATGCACTGGCTTCAATTTCCCCCCCTGAGTTAGCCTTCCAGTTTATTTATAGTTCAATGGTTGCATCCCTAGCAACGAAAAAGGTTTGTTGTTATTACCATATTGGCCAAGGGCGGATTTTCATTTTTTTTTTTTTTAAAGGGGTGGAAAAGTTTCTAGTGGGGTGCAAGCGGCACCACTGAGCGAGCTTCGGCAGGGGTTAGGCGTTAGGGTTAAAGACTTTCACACAAAATAGGAGGGGTGAAGCGAAATTTTGGTGGGGTTGAACTCTTTATAAGAGGGGTTAGAGACATTCTAGGGGGGGGGGGTTAGTATCAAAGGTCTTAGTATCCAGTCGGGATACAAGTCATCGACAGTTTGGTATCCATAACCAAATTTTTGGTATCCCATGGATATCGGGATGCTGCAAATTTCAGACCCTGGTTGGTTCTATCCAGAGAGATGCACAAAAATCTCGATATTTATACATTATTTTAAGGCTATTTTAGCATTTATGCAAAGGCATATTCGCAACTTTGGTTATTCACAAGGTCGCTCAATAATACGAGTAACAAGGGAATAACTCGCATACATAACATACAATAATTCTAATGCAATTCTAATTCACTTTGCTTCGAACGATAGTGACGAGACATGTGAGTTGTCCGAAGTTTTGAATGCCAACGTTACTGTTATAAGAATAGCAACTAATTAAAATAATCCAAGTATTTATGATTTTGTGTTGGATTATATAATAAAGCTTATTGCATTCGCTAATTCGATCACGTGATTTGGTCATGTACACACGTAAAAACGCACAAGTTGTAAAAAAAAACTGCAGCAGACTTGTAGCAATGCTGCATGTGTTCATCAGGATGTGTTCGCACTGCTTGTTCCCAGCTTGTTGGCAAGTTGTCATCGACTTGTTGATAACTTGCAACAAGGTTGTTGAGCTCAACAGACTTGTTACAAGTCGTTCCAACAACTTGTTATCGTCCTGCAACTCGACGATTTTTTAACAAGTTGTGAGCGACAACTTTTGTAACAGCATTGTTGCAACTTGTTGACAAACTTGCTACTTTGATGAAATAACAGCATTGTTGCAACTTGTTGACAAACTTGCTACAAGCCTGTTGCGAACACATCTTGTTGACAAGTTGTGTGATTTTTACGTGTGTGCGTTTCGCTTTGCCTTCATGAACTCTTTAATAGTGAAGTAGTCGAGCACGTACCGCTCGCAGGCAATGTTAAACAGCTTCAGAACATTTGTGAGGTTTAAAGATTTTCAACTTGAAAACTTGAAGGAAACCCTAAAACGTATGGTTCCACTATGGCCCCAACACCCTATGATTGACAGACAGAGGTTGACAGATATCTTTCCCTGAATTTAAAACCATGGCACAGATTTACTGTAGCACAAAAATACTAGTTGGTCTGCAGGAAATTTTTGTCCCATGCAGGTTGTGTTTCCAGGAAAATTAGTTTTCTCTATGATTCCAACAGCAGAAGATAACTCGCGAGTACATTACAAACGTTAATTTTATTCTTCCAAACTTAAATACATACCTTGTTCTTATTTCTATAAATATGACTTTATACTACGAAGTACGAATGACTACAAAATATCAAAATTTCTATCTGTACATGATGTGTGCATGTGCATTAAATAAGGATTTCGTATTATTCTTAACCAATTTTCAAAGCTAAAGTTCAACAATAAAGCTTCATTTCCTATTCATCCCTTATTCTATACCTCTATACCCTAAAGTATATACAATGAACTATTGAACTACAAAAACAAAGCTCTCTAAAATTCTTGGCCTGCTGCCATTTTTTGAAATCTTTTTACGAAAGTGCTCGCATGGATTGGGTTTGGTTAATTGCAACCAACTCAGTTCCTGTTAAACTGCTATAGCCTCTGTGCTATAGCCATATGGCTATAGCATTCCATTGCTCTATTTCCGGTAAGTATCAATCGTATTCTGAGCCAATTGTGATGCTCATATCAGTGCCAATAATGTCAGTTTGATGAAACCATCTGTTCGTGTCCAGGACAACTGAAAACGAGATAAGACAACAAAGTTCAGAAAAGGTCAGACCGAATTAGAAATGTAAATTATAAAATCAAGTGATATTAATTAAAGGATATGATAACTTGAAATAGATTGACAGAGTAATTGGTTGATTGTAGTAACTTGTAAACCTTGTGCACAGCGCTTTTATATCAAGGTTCTGACCTTCTGGGGGAATTGTCTAACTTGTAAATATAAGACTCAATAAATTGTACAGCATGAGTACATATATAGATCAGTGGACAATGAGAGATTCATTCCCATCATGCACCATTATTTTTGTTCAATCCTCATGCAGGGACTGGATACAAGTCAGGGGCAGTGGGGGTTGGTTCATCTGAAAGCCATATGAACAGGTTCTGCGATTGGTTGATTATAACAATGAAACACAAAATAAATCTAAAGAATACATTTTCAATTGGTTTGTTTATAGGAGGCCAATCACAGAACATGTTCATTTTAGCTTTGTGTTTGCTGTTGGTATGAGCAGTAATATTTCGAAGCTGAGGACTACAGGTGATCAAAACAAGCAATTTACTGTAGTTGAGTACTTTCTTTATGAATCATTAATGAGCACGAGACTTACTGATATCACCAGGTTGAACAACAATTACATGTTTCGGTTTTTTGCACTGGAAGTAACATTCAGGAGGTGGTTCTAGGATCCATTGTTTGGTGCCTTTGATCTGGGCTTGCCATGAAGGTTTACCCACAGCATCAATCTAAGAGAGAAAAATACAAAGAGGAATGTAAACATGGTGGTTTAATGAAGTCAAGTACAAGAAGCCAATTCATATTCTTATTTAAACTGCATATAAGATATTCTCCAGACTGAAAAGTTTTATTTTGCGCAGAAAATATTTTTCCTTGGGAAAAATGCTCAGAAATGCGAGTATTTTCACAAAAAATTTATGGCAGACCAAGGGATCCTGCGGTCTAAAGTGTTGTTGTCAAATAGGAAGATCAGAAATGTGCTTGACTCTTGGTTCACAAACGCATTTTGTCCGGCAAAGCCAACATTTTACAGTCTGGCACATTCTTTCCATTACGCCTGAGCCACTGCAAAAAGCTCAGTCTTGGTAGGGTTTGGAAAAGGTTTGCGATAAACTCACATGAAGATGAGCGCCATATCCAGGACAGCCCATAAATATCCAGTCTGTCTTGCTGGACTCCGATTCGTCAGGAAGAAAATATGGTTTTTGGTAATACTTCCGGAGAACATTAGCCGCGCTGGAGTCACAGTTACTCCTATATAGAAACAAAAGTGTAAAAAAATTATATATCAAAGACAAAAAGTAAAACAATTTTCATTTTGCAAGCATGCAATGGAAATCCTTCGGAAATCCTTCTATGACGTCACAGTACATCTGAGTACATCATGAAGCAATGAGGACTTTTTGGACTATTTTTGATAAAAAAGGAAACGATTGAAAGTGTTTTTCAAAAAGTGGGACCAACTTAATGGATTTTCACTACGATAAACGTTTGAAAATGTATTGCTATCAAATTACACAGCTGCGTATGGCTACATGTATATGGTATACGGTCAGCACTTGTTTCCAACCACCAAACTGACATGACGTCATTTTCAGAAGATTGAAGAGGTGTTAAATGGCTATGTAACTAGCCCAAACCCTACCCCTACTCTAACTCCTAACCCTAACCGCAACCCTAACTCTAACCCTAACCAAATTAATTAAAAAATCCAAAAAGAAACAACTTTAGAAATTGATCAAATGACGTAATATCAGTTTGGTAGATGGAAAAAAGTGAAAACCATGGTATACGTGTCGATAATATGTAAATCACTCGTCTGTAGTAATTACTCACTCCATATGTAAACAAGTACAAATTGTATGTAAATAATCTATCGTTCGGTTTAAATCACAAATATTCGTAACAAAAAGCAAACTTACCACCCAATGTACCATGGATCTCCTTCCATTTTCGCCATGTTTTCAGGCATATCAAAAACCTGCCCTAAACTTTCGAAATTCGTGCGATAAGGGAAGAATTGACAATCCTTATCTTCGGACTGCAATACAGGGCTATCCTTTGGGTAGATATTCTTAAAGAACTGAAAGCTGAAATGCGATGAGGCACTCCAATTATTGCTGCCGTTTCGTATCAACACAGGCCTTCCTGTGTATGCGTATTTTTCAACAAATTCCTCTTTGGTCAAGTTTGTGACGACATCGACCGTGTCGACATCTTTGCACATACTGCAGTCGACAGGCGGTCTGAATAAATCCAGATACACTTCATGAGCTGGCAGTAAACACGTCTCCTTCTCCAATTCGATATACAACACCTTTTCAGCGAAAAAGTTTATGAATTTCTTTTGAGTTTCCCCATCGAGTGCCATGCATGCTTTGTACGCCAGAGGAGGCAATAATATGACACATATTAATACCGCAATTAGCAACCGATAACTGCGAGTTTTGAGTGCATTTAATGATTTTATCTTCTTAAAATCTTTCCCCTCTATTTCGAGTTGTTTTGCTCGTTTTCGCAAGCGTTTAAATGCTTCCTTTGCGAGTTTTATATTCGCTTCTTTGTCAGCCATATTCAATACCCGTAATACTGTATGTAATTGCTGATATGCTCTACTAAATACTAATTATACGTTCGTACATATATTATGTTCATTGCGGAAGGGAAATGAGCATAAAGACGTCTTGTGTCACAAGGTCATTATCTATACAAACCACGCAAGCTTAAACAGCTGCCGAAATACCTGCTTTCATTGGTTCAAACAAAACTTTTTAATCAATCTTTTGGATATAAAGATTAAAATAGTCATAAATATGTTATCAATTCAATTTTTTTACAAAGTCGAATGCGCAACAGTTATCGTTTTGTTGCAGGTGTTACTAAATTTTAACCACTCGGCAATAAACAACCTGTTGGTTATTAAACCACCCCAAAAGGTTCAACAATAAACCACCCCCATAAAGACACTAGCCGCGACACTGCGAGCCCTAGACTGAGCAGAAGCTCTTCCTAGAGCCTGGGAACGAGGTTGGTCCTTCACTGGGTTGGTCTCAATCCCAGGCTGAAAATTATCCGTAGGGTCGGTTTAAAGAATTTAAAAATTATTTCCAAGAAATTCTAATCAAAACCTTATTTAATCTTAATGCTACGGGTGAGGTGTGTCTTGATTCCAGTGCTTTCTCCTCCATAACGACTGAGCTCTTTAACCACTGGATTGACCTAGAATCAACAAACATTTTAATTAAAATTGCCCAATGAAGCACATTGTTATGCCACATACAGTTTGTTCAATCACAACAAAACATATATTTTGAAGACGCCATGTTGGGACAAAAACAGTCATATGAACCCAGAAATAGTTCTTCTCACTTAGCTGAGTTTCCGAATCGGTTAGGTTCATATGAACAGGACCACGAGGTATGAAAAATAGAGCCTGATCTCAATAATAGGACCACGCGGTATGAAACAAACCAACACAACCATAAAAAAATTGTTCCTTACCTGACTCTTGCGTTTAATTTTAGCCTTGACAAATTTCTTTCTGTGTTTGAGACGAGGATTACGAACTTCTTTCTTGCGTTTGGGAGTGAGACCTTTATTCTTCGAAATCTATTTCAAATGTACAATACTTGAAATTGCATACCATCGTAAAAACTGAATACATTACGCTTAAGCCTCGGTGGATGAGAGTTGAAGAGAGTTGCAACTCTTGCCGCGTTTGACCGCCAACTCTCATCCGAATGCAAAATTTACCTGGTAAGTTATGCCACGTTTTCCATCGGCGTCTTCTTCCTCTTCAACATCGACATCGTCCATGTCTGCTTTCATTGACATCCTGAAATGCAGTACAATTCATACCTGTAGATTTTATTTTTGCAGAAGTAGTTCTCGGACGTAACCAGTCCATGCCGGTGCAGGGTCAGCAACTCCAGGCTTAGATAACTACAGCTGTAGCTCCGCATAATTTTTGGACTTTGCCTTCAACTCCTTCTTAATCCAACTAATTTTGGAGCTACTGCTGAGCTAGCCAAAACGTTTACATTTGTAATTTTTGCTGCGATGCCAAGTGCGTTTTTCTCCTTCTGATGGATGTGAACGAGTAGATGAGTCATGAATGTTCCGAGTTCCTTCAGATAAACTGGTCAAATCCGCGTGTTTATATCATGATTGACTGATTGAGCGCTCTTCGCATGCGTGAAAAGACTGGGACTGACCTTCAAGTTTGGCTTCAAATTTCCGGTCGGAGATAGCGTTCCAATTATATTCATTTCAATGATATACCCTTGAACATTCATAACTCACCCACTCGTTCACATCCATCAGAAGATGAAAATCGCACCCAAAATCGAAGTAAACTGGCCTTTAGATGATGGAGGTAGCGGGGTAAAGACCTACCTAAAATGATCATGTTTTGTGATTGGCTTTCAGAAACAAAAATGATCATTGTTCGTGACTCGTTCTTTAGAAAGACGATTCCTATAGTTTTATTGTCTTTCAATGTTATAATCAACCAACCACGAACCTGGATACTATATGGTAGATGATGACCCAGGTGAAGCTGCCCATGCCTCCCTATAAACCTTTGCAAGCCATGAAACGAAACACAAACTTACGCATGCGCTTTGACGCGTTCTTCTTTCCTTTTCTTTTTCATATCACGGATGGCTTCATAATAACTGAGGGGATCAAGATCTTCAAGTTTCTTCCTTTTCTTCCCAGCTGAAGCCTAAAAGAAGTTGTTTGTGACATGTCATACACAAAAATGAGTTTTAATATTGCAGCAACTGAAACACGAAAAGTGTGTAGAAAGCGGGGAGTCAACCCTGTTTACATACTTTTGATAAAACGTCATCATCTTGGACTTTGGACGCACTTTCAGATTTTGAAAACTTGACTTTTTTCTCACTTCCTTTTTTCTACAAAGACGATACTGCAATGTTACGAAATTTGACCCATGCCAAAAGCTGAAAGAAACTAACTTTTTTTACCTTTTGTACTTTTGTACTGTTAACTTCATGTTGCTTTGATTCGTCATTTCGGGTTTCTTCTAGAAATATTTTTAAATGTTAGCACACTGGATACTCTATACTTTGACAGTGTGTGCTTCCATCACTGACTTCAGGGCTGAGAACGGTCTCATACAACAGCATGATTGAAACAGACACCATAAGAAATTCGGTAATGTTTTATACAGCCTTGAACACACCTGAACTGTTTTCTTTATATTTCGTAAGAAAATATTCGATATCATCGTGAAGTTGAACATCAAGTGGTTCCAATTGTTGAAGCAACTGAAACACAAAAACAGTATATAGAAAAAAACAAAACACCATCCGAAGAATTTTGCATCATGAAACCCAGTTTGAAATATCACATTGGACGTACCTCTCTGTACTGTACTAGTCGTTCAATAACTGGATGATTTTTCACTGGAGTTTGATGTGCTTTCAACAGCAGATAGAAACATACGTTGACCAGGTAACTATACAAAAACGCTGGTGTCAAAGGCACTCACTTGATCACTCAAGGCCGACTCAATCGTCGGTTCACCTGGATTCCCGCTGGGAACTCATGACACTTAAGTGAAAACTTTGAAAAGAGTCGGTCAACGCTCTATCGAAATTCGTGGGTTTTCTCTAGGTACTTCTAGCCAGCAATCCACCCTCAACTCAGGTTCCGTGATCAGACATGACTCGTAAGGTGGCTGTCAGAAGTGCCCTTAAAGAGTCATCAATCAAGTTGAGCCGCATCCTCAGCTCCAAGTGAGTATGATTACGACACCCCCACTTACACTTAATAATATATTATTGTTGCTGAACGAGTTAGAGTATTATTTTCAACATACTTCATGACCAATTGATGTTTCATCTCCAAATATTCCACTCCCTAAAATATTTTATAATAATTGGTCAAGAGAACAGACACACGCATGATGGCATTTAAATGACGTAATGTCTTTAAGCCAACCACACCTCTCACAGAAGCACCACAAACCAATTTTATCAAATCTATAATTTCAAACCTGAGAATTTGTAATTTTTCCAGCCCTTGCCATTTGAACCAGTGGATACAAACGATCTGTTACTTCACTGAGCTAAAAAATTCAATTAATCTTAGGTTCCACTTTGACCAAATTCCTTTCTTACGTGAGAACATAGTTTCAGACCAAATTCCGAAGTTACAGTATATCGAAGGGTGAGACACGTTTGAAAGTAAATAGAGCACAGTTTTAGGTTATTTATGAAACATCTTTTGTTCTGTACCTTTTCTTTCAAATCATCCAAAAGTTCGAAAAGTTCAGGAGAATCTTTGGCCAGCAACTGCATACAAAATAGATTGGAACAGGATATATTGCAGACAGAGCAAATGTTAGAACTTGTGGGACAATATTAATGAAACGCACCTTTATTTTTTCTTCCTTCGACAATTTGGATAAGTCCATAATTATTTTCTCTTGTTGTGTCTATGATAATTAAAATAGAAGTTATTAAATAAATGTGTAGAATTATGTAATTATTTATTTATGTGTTGTTTTGCCAAGGTATAAAAAGGTGCTGTACCTCTTCAATTTCTTTAACCTTTTGTTTCTCTGGTACTATTTCATTGTTCGCAAACTGTTTTTAAATAAAAGATAAAAATTATTATCTAGGAAGGCTAAGAAAGTAAGAGAGTTTGTGTTAACTGTGAGATTAAATGACAAAATGAGCTGACAAACTATCTTTCAAATTTTATATCTTCATTTCCCTTCACCTTCAAAACAACTGTTTTACATTGCAGTTATAATTTACAACTAACTTCTGTTGTCATTTTTTTCCTTATCGCGTTATGGCACAAATGTTTCTCTGCATTACCTCAAACTCTTCGATATCAAAATCATTTTCATCAAGACGTGCCGCCATATTTTGTTGCAACATCAACACTTCTTCTTCTTCCTCTTTGTCCAAAACCTCTTCTTCTTCAGAATCTGCATCAGACTTTTTCATGTCAGACCACACACTCTATTTTTCACTCAACTAAACTAAACTGAACTAACTTTCCTTTGGGACAGACCATCAAAAAACTTTTTTCCACAGTCTGCCCTTTATACTAGGTAGCTCAATGCCCACATCCCTAATATTGGTCTACAGGAGGAATTACAAGTTCAAAACCTTTGGCATTTGGTAGAAGCATTCTTCTCACAAGTAAAGTCAAAATTATCAGAAAACTGAATATGCTAGTGACAGTTGCATTGCATCACCAGTGGCCATGAAATATTCCCAAAACTTACCAAGATCCTTTTCTTTGTGCTGATCAGCATCATAATAAACTTTCTTTTTCTTACCCCAAGCTTTTTCACTTGGAATACCTGGAAAAGACAGAGGGCATGCAGCTTCATCAGTTGAATGCAAATACATAAATAGAGTGAAAGACTCGTGTTTCTTCATGTACTGTACATCATGATGCAATATACCTTCTCATTTATCACCATTAAAACCAAACTTTACAGACCAATAAACTCTGACAACAATTAATTACCTTTTTCAACATCTTCATCACTGCTCAATAAATCATCCTAGAAAACCATATAGAAATGAGAAGACAGTGACACAAGACACATGCAGCAACCTGAAATGAATAAATACTGATAAATACCTCATGTGCTTGTATGTCATCATCATCGCCATCATCCTCATCATCATCATCTACATCTGACTCAATATCTAAACCAAGAACTTCCTCCACTTGCTCAAATCCTTCAAATTCTTCATCAGATGATTGAGATGATTTGTCCAGCAATATCTAGTATATAAATTGACAGCTCGATCCATAAAGTCCCAAGCACATTAATTAATGGTCTTCAATTCTCAAAGTAGACAAGTTGCATGAACCATTGCTTAATTTCTACAATTAGGCGGGAGCGCAACATACTTGACAGATAGTTGTAAATTTACAGATTGGGCATAAAAAAAACATGTGGTTCCGGTTCCCGACCGACCCTATTTTTTCTGCTGACCCTATTATTTTTTCAACGCGATTGACCGGGCGACCCTATTTTCTCCAGGTGGTTGCGGGCTACTGCCAAAATGGTGTCTGTTGTCACACTAATTATTGAAAAAAACATGAAAAAAATATTTTTAAAAAAAATTTATTTCCAACCTACCGTTTTCGCGATACGAAACCGGAACCACAGGTTGTTTTTTTTTACGCCTTGACTAGTGGTGAGTTCTACAGATTTTTCAACAATTGTGACTGTACAACATTTCTCAGAATTGCAACTACATTGCATGTGTAACACACCTTCATACAAACTGTGTTGCAATTACTCAGTGAATGGCTTCCTATTGGCTAAATATTGGGTAATTTGATGCCTGAAATGGCTGTATTCACCCTCAAAATTGTTTACCAAGACCACTGACTGCATTGCACTGCACAAAGTATATTGCTCAATGTAACAGGCAATGTCTCTGTGCCTGGAATGTTTTATTTCATTCCCGAAACAGACCAACCTTTTCCCTATTGCTATGAAATTTATCCACATCATCATAAAAGAATTCTTCAGCTTCCTGTAAACAATAATAATGGGCTTCATTCATTTTGATATTTCATACTCTCTCATGTACAGTATATACTGTATTATTTAACTTGTAATAAAAAATGCAGTTCATGCATGGTGTAGAACTTGTCACAAACCGGATCAGGACTGTCACGTCCAGCCTCAATATCACTGTCATCTTTCTTGACAACTTTTGTTCTCCTTTTTGGTGTTCTAAATTTGGCATAGGTTCATGAAAGTTGATTGTTCAAATTAAACTAACTTGACAGGATAAGCTAGATAGCACTATCATATATAAACTGTTCTTATTACAGGTCCAGTAATTACCATCCATCATTGGCCCAGCGTTAACATGTCTACAGGACAAAACCTAGACTAAACCACTGTATATCAGTTTTAAGCTAGTGGTGTAGTTAGGGACAGACCAAGTGAACCTCAGTCATAGGAGCATCATTCCTGGTTTGC